TCCGATCTCCCCAAAACCCCAAAACCCCACCTTTGTAAAATAATATCATAGCTGGAAAGTGATTAAATTAAAATAAAATATTGTATATTATTTAGATATATTCCAGTAATAGAAGATATAAAATACATTTTTCTCTCGTAACGTAATAGATTCTAAGTTTCAATTGTTTTCATCCTAATCTTCATTAATAGATGGTTATTCAATATTTTTATCGTTGAAATTATTAAGGCTGCCTTCATCATAATCTTCCTTTTCTTAATATTAGTTTTGGTCAATATCTTCCAATGAAACTGAACTTCCCTTTCGATTTTTTGCTTATTTACATTTATCTTATTTAGAACTGTCAAATTAAATACTAGCTTCTCCATTAGGTCCTAACTTTTCATCAACCAAAAGTTAGTTATTTTCTTCATTCACTGGTCCTGATTCCTCATTAATATTAGAATCCATGCAGCAGAAAACGATGCACATGCATTTCAGACATTTATTTCGAGGTATTTTACTTTATTAAGCAGTTTTGCTAAACTGGTTCTACTTAAGATTGCTGTCAGTCGATCTCCCCTATTCAGAAATCTCCAGATCTTCTTCGGATATTTTTGATTTGTTTGATTGAATGGCTTTTAAATTTTCTTTTGATTGTAGGCTTGGGCTATTATCAAAAGATTCATCATCTTAATTTCTCCTTTGTTTACAACAGATGCCGCAGAAGCAAAACAGTACCATTAATTCAAAAAATGAGTAACCACCTGTTTCTATTCCAAAATTTTCATCTTTTCGCTTGCAGAACTTGTGCATCAAACAGAAATTCATAAACCAGAGAACTGAAGGAATACAAGTCATTAAAGCAACAATAGTTCCAAAGCCAATGTATATTTCATTAAGTTCTCTGTTTATATATCCAGCACAATCTGATAAATCAAGAGCACAAGTGGTATCAAGACAACAAGTTGCAGAACAGTCGAGGCCTCTAGAAGCACAGCTCGCAGCATTAGCAGAGTTAGATTTCCTTTTTTTGCCTCTAGCTTCGGATTATTAGATTTAGGTTACTATTACTAATATAAATACAGCCACATAAACGAGCTTTATATGAGATTTTAGTTAACTCATAGATTTTTATTTAATTTTAATGTTTTGCTCAGGAATTTAACTAATACCGTATTTTCATAACTTACTTTACGGGGTTTTGGGGTTTTGGGGTTTTGGGGTTTTGGGG